TGTTGCTTTAGGGTATATCTCTATTTTTTCTTTATTTTAAATTAATTTCAGTTTGCTGTAAAAATTGCATTTATGATTTCAAAAATTTTGAACAGTAATAAAAAAATATTTAAAAAAAAAATCGGCCAATATATTTATTACATTTTTGGCATGCCATATATACTATTAGTCAATGTAATCTAGAAATGGAGATGACCAAGAAAAGAAGCACCACAAATCTTTTCCATATTATATACACAATATATATGTTTCATAAGATATTAACATGATATTTTAAAAGGAAATTATCACACTCATATCATATAAAAGTATTAAGTATATATACCTTCACTTGTCATATTTACTAACTTAATAAATATCGGAAGTGATATAATACCAAAAAACAAAAGAGTTAATTATTTCATATTTTTTTTTATTAAATTGTCTTGCTTCTTAACTTTTTTCTAACTTTAGTTTCATTTTAATAAACCCACTAACCACTTCTGCAATATTGATACTAATATCGTTAGTAATATTTATTAGAGCTAACCGTGTTGATCTCTTATTTGTTTGCGTTATTCTTAAACAAGACTCCATGTACTTCAGGTGATGCAGAACACAGCAGAATAATTCGTTACGTATACGTACATATATTTTAGATATACGTGATGGGCCCGGATCTCTTTGGGCCTTTACATAGATTCGCCATTGCTGTTAGTTATGCTAAACATATATTATGAAAACGAAAACCGTTAAAATTGACTCTACTTAAGTAACTAAAAGCTTGTGGCTTACATATTTCACATCGAGAAATTAAAATATGAACGTCAAAGTGTTAGATTAAAATTATGGCAATTAATTTTGGAATCAGAAGAAATTAACTTTCAACTTTTTTAACTTTCAACTTTTCTGACTCGTGTCTTTTTGCCTCCACATCTCTTCACTTAAAAAACAGTCATTTAAAACTATTAATTTTAATGCATAACATACAATAAACGTAGTTATTTCAGGATTTACGCAAATGTAATTGTTTAATTTAGTAGCCTATGAGCTACATTTAGTGAACCCGATGTGATCCTGAAATTACGTTTGGTCTTGTTAAATAATAGCTCAAATTATACAAATTTTGTAAAACATCATAGCAGTGATAAAGAAACAGTGATAAATTTTGCTTTGTTTGACAATATTAATTGTCGGTATTTAGTAATGCTTTTAATTATTCAGTAACTGACAAATGAACGCCTTATTAACGTTGCTATTTGTTCGTTAAACAAGGAATTGCACCAATATCATTTTTATTATATTATCACAAAATAGTCACAGTAATGCAGAGTCACTAATCGTCTCCCCCCGTGTGGTCTAAAGTACACCTACGGCAGGATATGGAGCATCAATCACGTCTCAGTCATTATATAAGTCTGTAAACAAACACAGTTTTGCGCGGCAATGTCGCGATGAGCCTTGACCCTAATTAGCATTCAAAGCAATATGTTTCGGCATGGTTTTACGCTTATCAACAAGTCACTATGATAGAGCATTCTAGTCACAAACACATTTTTACACTTTTAGATTTCGCATTAGACACTGGCACAGCATTGCACATATAATTCAATATTGCTTAGATTTCAAGAACCAGAGCTTTAAAAATGGCAATTTTTGCATGAAAATCACCAAGAACTACTTATTGTTAATTATTGTTGATAGTCTAGTTATTATAAAATGTAGACAAGTCAATTGACGCTAGATAGAGTGTGTAATTTTGTTAGTATAATTAATGTAAAAAAATCAGAACTTTAAACTTCGATATCTTAAGTAGTAATTTACATCGGCATATAACGTTGTGGAAGTAGTTGCTCCACTATTATTGTCCACCTGTTGTCCAATGGGCTTGCCGAGAATATTAGAATCGAACCACAAAAAAGACTGGAATACATCTTAAAAGTCATTTGACTACTTAAATAGAATTACTTACTTACTGCTGTCCTTCTCTCCTAAGTGCAGAATAGGACACTCTTTCAAATGGAATTAATCATTTTAAATGTCCAACCAGTGAAATCAAATTGTGGGTTTGCTTCTGCACGTGAAAATCTTAAAGCTCTTAGTAATTCTTCATTAAATGCATTAAAAAAAAATTTAGTAGTGTACAAATAGATATTACAGTGATCCCAGTGAAATAAGTCAGCAATGATTAAATGTTTGCTTTTTTTTTTGAATAAATGGGAATAATTTTTTACGTTCAGTTTGCAAGGATACCCATCTCCACATACTCATTCGCCAAAAATTCTGTGTAAATCAAGAGAAAATAAAATTATATTAAAAGTAAATTTACAAAAAAGTAGCGGTCTTATTGTATTATTTCGACCAAACAAATATTTTCAATAACAAACAATTTCTCAATAATCACTAAAATAATTATGATTTTATTGGTACAATAAACAAAAATATTAGTATTAGTATTAGCATTATACTACATTTTTTTATTGTATTTTCATTATCATAATTATTTTGATTATTTTAATTATTATAATTATTATTACGTTGATTGCATTTTACTGCGAAAGGTTAAATAATGTTAAATATAAAATTTGTGCAACAATGCTTGATAGTCAATACTTTGGTGGTTTCTTTTTGGGGTTTTGTATTTAAGCAAATTTTTGTTTAGACAAATTTTAAAGCACTCATTTGGAACAATTTTTATTTAAATGCATAGTAAAGTATCTTAAGTACCGGCACAGTTTATAGTTGGTAATGAACTACTTCTTTCTCCTCGAGTTGCTTGTATGATATTTCTAGCAATTCTACATTTATTTAAAAAAAAGTTATTCGAAAATATGTAGAAATTTTAAAATTTATAATAAAGATAATATTAAAAAAAAATAATGAAAAATAAATATTATATTTATCTACAATGCTAATAAAATAAATATTAATAAGTTCGAATTCTAATATTTTCTATGGCTATTGCAGAATAAGTTTATCAATATGGCTTTCATTTTTTTAATACTGTCGAAAGTTTCCTTTCAGTCTACCAATAGACTATGAAGATGGAATCTATATTCAATAAATATTTGCATTCTTTGAGTACAATTTTTTTTAATACTATCTTATAATTTATTCATCTTTTAACAATTTATGGGCTAACCGTGAAAACTGTGAGGTCACTTGAACCTTATGGCCTAGATTGGACAAAAATAAAACGAATAGTCTTTTGGGTTTCAGCAAACCTGCCGTTCGTATACTTTCTGGAGTACTAACAACGCACTGTGCCGTTGCGCCTATGCTCTAATGGTGGCGAGTTCCAACAAGTGGATTATGCAAGAGTTGCCAAGATGGAGAGGGTATAGCATCCATCCACCACTTCATGTGTCTCTGTCTTGAACTGCAGATAAGGTGACTCAATGTCTTGGAGAGATAACGAAAGCAAACTTATCGGATCTCTACAACTTGATCTGGAAAACCAAATGGCTTAACAAGGATAGGCAGAATCTTTGCCACATCGCAATGGGCAATATACGTCTCCGAGTGGAAGTGCTGATAATTGTCAGCACGCGCTTTATCAACCATAACTTATTCAGCTAGTATAAATATCTTTTCATAAAGGAATATTTGTTTTAGTCACATATGTCAAATATAACTATTATCCATGTCATATTATATGACAAACAGAACTGCCATTTATAGCATCATGTGTTTCGTTTAGGGTTTGCCGTTTTATAAAATGGACAAAAAATTAACTGAATGGAAATTGTAAAAACTATCAGATTTCATTAGGAATCAATACGTTTTTGAATGGACTAACGCCATGTTAGTCCAATGTCTGAAATTTCATAGGCGCGAGATTTGTTTCCTCCTTATACTACATTTTCCTTTAACTTTGCACCATTAAATTGGTTGTAGCGGTTGAAATTTTTGATTCTTTAGAATAAAGTTGAGGTAAATGCTTATATATCTACATTTCAAACAAAAATCTACCTGTTGAAACGAATTTTTAATTGAATGTTAAAATCCTGCAAAGAATATGTAATAATAGTTTAAAATTATTATGTTATATTTATACGAATTAATTCATTGTTCTGGACTTGCCTTTTTTCGACTATGTTAAATTTCTCCTATACTATTTTTTAACAGTTTTTGCTGTTATAGCATTTTGACAACATATTTAAACGATCACTCATTCCACATGAGTGCATTTCTTCCTATATATAAATTATTCTATCAGTTGTTAAAAAGCAATTTTGCTACTTTCATTTGTATGCAACATATTAACCATTCAATTTTTTTGTACTTTACTATTAACATGATTACTTATTCTCACTGATTTTTTAAAAGTATTTCATTTGGTTTAAACAATTGCTTGTTAATGCAGTCATTCAAAAGTGAAAAAAAGATTAATACAAACGAAAAATATCATAAATTATTAAATAATAACTAGAAATACAATAATGTAAATAATTTCTGATAAGCATATTGTAAGTGTTTTAATATTTAACTATTGAAAGTAAAGTGGTTTTGTTTGTATAAACAAAAGACTTAAGCAACAAACGTTGAACTTTTCTATTTGCCGTCGATGAATATCGCATGCTGCACATAAAAGCAAAAACTTTTACTTTTCAAAATGTGCTTTTAACACCAAAAACAATTGCATATAACACAAAAGAATATAATTCTTGTAATCAAGCAAAAAAAAAACTACATTTGGCCACTAAATGTCAATCACTTGCATGTTTGTTTATGGTTGACATAAAAACTTTAGATGAAAAAAAAATTAAAAACGAAACACTCATCAAAAACGTAATTTCAATACTTTATTATCTTTATCTTGCAGTGATGGTAAAGAGCAGTAGCTACTAGTAACAAGCAAACACTAAGGAAAAAACCTACAAACCAGTGGCACATATACAAATCGCAGCGGCGCGATCAATCTTAACTTGGTCAGACATAAAGTTTAAGTTTACGCGCAACAACAACAACAGCAACAACAGCAACAATCTACAATAACAACAGCTACAACGATAGATACAATGTCTGCTACTTCAAACTGTGATTGCTTAGTGAGTGTACCAACCGGACCAACGCTGGCTGCAACATGTGGTGGTAGCGCTTTTATGTTATTTATGGGCTTATTAGAGGTTTTCATACGTTCACAATGTGATTTAGAAGACCCATGTGGCAGAGCGAGTTCAAGGGTAAGTATTTTATCTTATTTTATTTATGTATTAAGGATAATAAAGTCCTTTTTTAATTCGCTTTTATGTTGTATTGTAATTTTTACTTTTTGCTTTATAGTTTCGTTCAGAACCAGATTATGAATATGACTTCATTGTGGTTGGTGGTGGTTCAGCTGGTTCTGTGGTTGCATCACGTCTGTCTGAAGTGCCAAATTGGAAAGTCCTACTCATTGAAGCAGGTAGGTGAATGTTATTACAAATAATATGTATTTTAATATATATAGTTTTATATTTATAACAAATAGTTAGTTAATCTGAATATGAATATGTATGAGTGTCATGGGCTCGTCATGAACAAAATTGTTGTTTTCAATGCAAATTATAAAATTGAGAGAGAGAAAAAACAATATGTCGGTTCATGAGAGCCGGTCGTGAGGCTATCATTGCCTAGTCACTTGGGTATAGCAGTTCTATTGAGTAATAAATATTAACATTTGTGTCTTTTAAAAGTAAATTATTACAATTTCTGTGACACTCTGCATAACACACATTTTCGTCAAAGCCAAAAATATACAATTTTGACAAGCCCATGACACTCTACATAACATGGCGCTTATTTATTTTATAGTTCAGTAAAACAAATTTAGAAAGCAAAGAGATATCTCTTAAAAATATCTTAAATAAGAATAATGAGAACGATGTGAATAAATTTTTATTAAGTATTTATACAAAAGTTTTCTTACAGAAAATTATTACTGCGTTTTTAGTGCTGTTAGCTGGCTGTTCGTTTCTTGTTGTTGTTTTGTTCACAGTTAGTTGGCATTTCAGCTGGTGTCTTTTTAAATAAATATATTTGAGATATATAATTGAGCTTTTACTGCATGTATGTAGGGTGTTTCTTTATAATTAATATAAAAATTAATTTAGTATTATAAATATTGTTTTTAACTGTATTATATCAAAAATATACACAAGCAAATATGCCTATTTTGTAAAAAGGACGTTTTTAGTATCTGACTTAATTACTTTAATTAATGATGTTGAGGATTCTTAATTAAATATCAATAAAATTGCTGTTAAGTTCGTTTTTCATAACATGAGTAGCCCGCTTTAGCTATAATCTCTATTAACTGACATAACCTAAATTATTCTAAAATTAAATTAAGTTATGAGAAATTTTTTTATACAGAATTTTATGGCATTTTTAAATGTCATTGCAGAAAAACATATAAATATATATTTTATAAAGACTCTCTATAAATTTCCAATATAATAGTCTTCGTTATATAGTTTATAGTTAGTTAGTGGGAAAACTTGTAAAATTTAACAAATGAGTAATGCTTTAATATAATTTTTTTAAGAGTTAACCTTGTAGTGAACACATCTCGAAATATTAAAGAATTAAAGAATATCAGTTAGTAACCTTTAGAAGATGTCTTTCGGCTTGTAAATAAACTTGAATTAAAGTAATTTTATTATTTTTGCCTTAGGTATAAAGAAAAAGTTAGGAGAAAATGAAAAAATAAACAATCGAAGATGAAAGAAAAAGGAAGCAAATACTTAATACATCACGTATAGCCAACTGTTGTGCTTATGTAGTGTAATGATTGCACTCTATATCTCTCCAATATTAATACTGCATTTCATGTAACCTATTAAATGTTTCTTTACATATAATCTTGATATATTTTCATTTGTTGTTGAAAAACTCAGGTCTCCATATATAATATATTATTCATATACCATGCCGAGTTAGTTAAGTTCCTTAAAGTTTGGAATTGTACACGTTGCAGTATCAGATATGCGAACGAAATTATGGGTTGCCAGAACAGTAAACTATAACTTGGTATCATCAACATATTAAATGTGTTATGGTTGTTTTGTGAAAAAACTACAATTATTTGTGATATCAGCACCTCAAATGGATTATATATTTGTTTAGTGAAAAAAAAACTTTTTCAGGTTTCAATTTGAGTTGCGACCTTCGCCCTATTAATGATTGCCATTCTGTGCTTTTCACGTTTATTCGATTTTTTTCATGAAGATGTGTTTCCCCTGTTAGACTTCCAACACAATTAGTACCAAGGTAATTTGCCTCATATAATAGTCTTTTTGTTAATTGTTGTTAATTGTTACACTTGAGTAGTTGCCTTTTCTGAAGGTGAATACTTATGTAATTAATTTTAATATGCTATTTGAACAGTCATTCTTCAATATATTTGAGGTAATTTGCAAATGTTGCACATTGAGGATTTTTTTAAAAAGCTTTTATTCGGTTGTTGTCATTTTTCTTTGAAGATAATGGGAACATAATTTGTATATAAATTATATCACAGAAACTTCCTAATATCCTTAGCGTTCTGTTTAATGCATAATGCCTTTAATCACAAAATAAAGTGATGATGCTAGTTTTTGGAGTTTTGCTAATGAGTCATCTATGGTAACATTCAGTGGATTAGTAATACCTATAAGTAATATCAGTAAGATAAGGTGCTAAAAGTATTAGTCGATGTTTAGTGCTTTTCCTGGTATTTACACAATCGCAACAGAGTGTAAAGCAGCCCCTATTGATTTTAGGTAATTTTGGAGATGCTCAATCATCCATTGTAATTATATCGAAAAGTTACTATCAAGTCTAGGAAACTTACATAGTCTAAAACTTTTATGGTTTTATTTATACTATTGAAAGTGATCGGATTCATTATCTAATCTGCTTGCAGCTTTATTTTAAAATTTATTGTTAGTTAGTTCATTACGTGTCCATTAATGTAACGTTAAATGTAGTCTATTTAATTATTGTTGGTAGCAAACAGAAAAAACGACATTTCACAAAATTAATTGCAATATTCGACTTGCATTATTTTATATTTGAAAGTGATGTGACTATTTAATTAGTTCATATAACTATTATGAGTAACTGAGTGATGCTTCAAATAATGAAGTGACAGATTAACAGGATTATTTGCATGCACTATTTAAATCTAATTAAAACTCTGAGTTTAAAATAAAAGTAATCAAATTTCAGACTTTCTATTAAAAACTATAATAATACTCACTATCTTAAAACATTGTTTCCTTAGACTGAAGAGCATTCTGTTATTACGACATCTGAAGTTTACAATTCTTTAACTAATTAAATAGTTAAGCCTAAACTACGAATATGTCGAATAGAAAAGTACTGATAATTTATCTTAAGTAATGAAATTTAATTATACGGGCTTTACATATTTGTATAGTGTATACATTTAGCTGCATCAGCATTAGTCACCAATGTGTCGTTATTTATATTATGGACTCATAATATACAGAACAGCTTGTTTATACTAATATCTATAAGAATCAATTGCTTATTCTAATATGGAAATCAAAGTTTTTTTCAAAAGCATTAGTCACAAAAGATCCTGATAGCCAAAAAAATATCATTTTGATAAACAATGAAATAAGATGCTTTGTTTATTAAGATTTTCTGCTTCCATAAATTTTGTTTTTAAATATAATTTGATATAACTTTAATTTTTCCGTTTTTAAATATTGAAACTATTGCTACAGAGGCCTAACGACAGGTGTATCTGTTTCTTTGACAATATTGGCATTACTTCACCAAAGTTGGCTGTGTTAGCACGATTACTGCTTTTGTAGAATTGTTTTTGTATTCATCTTTTCTATATGTTTCGCCCGTTTTTAGTGCTGTTTGTAAGCACTTTAACTTTTACATATTTTGTGTGTATCTAATTATAGCATCAATTAATGTCTTTATTGTGTCTTCATAAGCTTCAACTGGTTTTCTAGAACGTGGGGAATCTTAAACACCAAATGTGTCAAGTCTAAATTTTACACAGTAGTTTTGCTTTATATATATCGGATTATAAGATACATCGGATCCTATAAGATTATATAATTTTTCCTATTCCATAGTGAGGACGTATAAATAATATGTCAAAAATGCTTCTTTTTACGTTCCATATTTGACAGGGCACCAACTTACCGAGCTTTTTTTAAAGCAAGTTCTATTATATCAGCTGTCAAATTTTTCTTCAACTAATGAATTATCTCCAACCTTCAAGAGATGTTTACCGAAAATATATTCGTATATATAAATTAAGCACTCCATACTATAATTGGGACTCTCATTGATTTTGAAGTCTTCTAATTTGTTTAATTGTTTATGAACAATTTTACAAATTTTTCCTATTATGGCCAGCAATATTTAGTTTATTTGGAAGAATAATAAATAAATAGGCATTAAACTTGACGTCACTTTGGCGAAAAATTTGTGATTTTTGGTGTGAAACTTTCACCAATATTGGGTCTTAATTGTATAATTCAGACACTCAATACTAAGTTATTAGTGTTAATAAGTTGATTGGTTCTTCTAAAATTGGATTGGTTATTGTAAACTTAATTTTGTATCATTTACTCGTATGAGGTATTACCTATCAGTGGTATAGACTTGTGCCAATAAGTGGTATACTAGCAAATACTTTTTTGACAGTGTTTTTACAGTTTAATAAATTCTGTATTAAAGATAAAAATGTATCGGTCATTTCGATCATCTGAAGAATTTTTGGAATATAACTGTCCATGTTATGAACACAATACTTAAAGGGAAAATATTTTTAAATATCAGTTAAAAACTTAATGAACTTATGGTTCCAAATCTTATTCTTTATTGTTTTTAATTAAGTTCCACAATTGTCAACTTTAATTGTATTTGAACTTGACATCATTTTCAATATCTGTTTTAATTGCTGTAGTAAATGATTTTGAGGTGTTTTTCAAATCGCCATTCAATTGGTCTAATGAGAAACAGTAATATTCGTGGATTATTTCACTTTTAAAAGGTAATAATTGATTACAGTATATAAATTTCTAATGCGAAGTAACTAATACTCCCTTCTAAACAACAGTTCTGTATCGTTTACCATTTCCACTTGCATTAATTTTCGTTACTATATTTCAGTAATTTAGTCTTTCATTTTTATTCAACCTTCAGTCTCTCAATCGTGTTTGTTGTCTTTTTATCGAAAGTTGTTTTTATTTTGAATCTATTTTATTATAAAATGACGAAAGACAATCCATAACTTCGGCAACTATAACATATGTGCATTTTTTGTGTGTTTAAGCACTTATTTGCATTCAACTTTTTTATGTTTAAAGCCTATTTCGAAAACTTCTGGCCAATTTTAACGTCAGTACCTTGACATCCTTAAAGCAATTTTTTTTCTAGCTGGAAAAATAT